GCGATGATCTGATCCCATGTTACCATTTTCGGACAACAGCTACATCGGTTAGGCGAAATTTTCGACCTACTTCAATGTGGTCTGTTTCCTTTTCGTACTTCCCATTAGGAGACACCCACGTTCAGCGTTTAGAGTGTGGCTTCTGGAATTCAGGGTTAGCATGCGTAGTCTCGGTCGCCATGATGAACTCAGAAAACCGTCCACCCTGTTCGTTCCATTCTAATTCATGGGTCCTAATGTGATGTTCTTCAGACGTTTTCTGGGTCCAATCTCAGCGTTGAAACCTTCAGTGGTGACCTTGGAGAATGTGTGGTCTTCTCTGTAGAACTTCTCCTAGTCCATATAGAACGATGTTTTCCCTCAATAAGCAAACAAGAGGTTGCCATTATAAAATTTATTAGGATACAATAGCTGACGTTTCGGCGGTTTCGCCTTCTTCAGAGCCGTTTATTTGTTGTAAGTATTTAAGTTAGTTTAGGGCTATCTCGCCCATGTATTACTCTGTGCGGCTGCTACCCATCAACTAACTTAAATACTTACAACAAATAAACGGCTCTGAAAAAGGCGAAACCGCCGAAACGTCAGCTATTGTATGCTAACAAATCCTTCAAAACATGGGCGACGAATGTGACCTAACACAGGCAGGTATGCAAGTGTACGTGCACTGTAGGTACCTTAGTTCTTCGTAATCGAGATAGCTCCCATTGGCCCTGAGATTTCAGCAGCCTCTCCGTACTCGTCCTACCCAACGCTGCCGAATTACGAGCTCTTTCGAGGTCAGGAGAATAAGGCCCGCTTTTTTTTTTTTTTACTGTGTTTAGCATTTTGATACCCACGTATAGGTTACTGGGCTCTGAACGTGAGGACTGAGTATACTCACGGGCACCTTGCCAGGCTCTCACGGAATGGATATGGAGCTTATTTGTTGGAGGTGACCCTCCTAACCGCCTCCTATATACTTCCCTGTCACTTGATTGCAGGGTTTTGTCCGAATTGGCTCGTAGAATACAATCCGCATAAAAGTGAACATACCCACGCACGCACGCATGAATATATCCTCGTAAATACAGAAAGTATGTGCCTGATCGGCCCAGCAGAAACAGATAGTCAATTACGTAGATCCACCAGCGTCTGAGCGAGATAAATACTGCTTTTCATCCACAATGAATCCCCTATCACCCACCTGGGGACGCTCCATGTTTCCTTGCGTCTAACCGGCATGGGAGATCCCTCTATGAGTATACTGAGAGATTATTGGCTGGCAAAGGAACACCTCAATATAGGAGGATGTAACAGATAGTATAGTTAGAAATATAGAAAAGAAGCTTAGCACTTGAAAATGAATGGAAGAAAGATTCAAACAGATGGACTACTCCCCGTGAACCAATTCGATTTAGATGCTACCTGGAAAACGTCTACAAAAGTTGTGAATGAATTGTTAAGTTTGCTGTGACAGCAACAACTGCTAATTTTTATATTCTTGGATTATTAAGCTAACACAAGGACGGTAATAGGTTTCATTCGACTAACGTTTCAACAACGTTGCCACCTCCAGTGCAGACTGATCCAATCGGGTCTTTGTGTTGATTTGGTGTTCCAAGAAATTATCGATTACTTATGCGAAGGTTAAATGAAAGTCTCTTCTTAGAGATGCGAAATCTATCCCGGCATAAATGACAAGCGATGCCGAATAATCAGAATGCCGATATCTTCCATTTCACGAGCAAGAAATATTCTGTTATCTATTTTGTCATTGGATTCCATAAAACCGTTATCAGCAAAAGCAAACAGTTCCGGTTGACGTTTTACAGGCTGCTCTTGTAACTCTAATTACAACAACAATAATAAATCAGTACAAGTAATTTCGTTTATGTGGAGGACGGTTAATTTTACCATGTCAAAATCGCTTTGACCAAAAGAGAGGAGAAGGCACGAGTGAAAAGGACCCTTTAAGTGGAGTCAACAACATCTATTATAGCCTCATTGTCGTTGCCTATGAAAAAGAAGCTAATAAAGAACAAGTTACTTGGACTCGTCAAGCCTAATAAAGGATTATTTACTGCAGAATGGTTTTCGCTATCAATGGCCTTCTAAGGTTCGGGTAGCACAATAGTTAGAGGTGCCCTGCAATACACACATGATCCTTGATTCGACGAATTGAGCTCTGCGGGCTCTCTGTCCCTCCGGGATCTTCAGATTGAGGCCAAAGTTTTCGGGAAGAATGTCGGGGCCGATTTCACACAGCAATAGCCAACTAAAAGTCATTTTAAAGGTCAGATACGTATTCAATCATCTCTAGCGATGGTTCATGAAGGCAAATACGCTGCACATTTATTTGTACGGTCTTGGATCTTATAACCTGATAACGCTGATTTGTTGCAAGTTGGTACTTGGAGCTCTTCGTTGTCGTTGTTGTTGATGTTGTTGGTCGTTGGCTAATGTTTTGGCAATTTCACCTTCCTCAGAACCTGAGCGTATTTAACGTAACATGAGCCATAATATTCAATAAAATATCTATAGCATTAATGAAAATCAATTTTTTAAATAAACGCCATATTGATCAAAAGGACTACTCGCCGTGCTGTTACGAGTGGGTCTACTCGCGTGTTGCTCACATAGGACGACGAGTGAGACCCACCCAGGTCAAAAATTCATTTTGAAACAAGGAACAAGTCATGTTTGATAGTGAAGCCTTTGTCTTACTGGTTCATCTTTGAATTTTTGAAATTTACCCAAAACGCCCCAAGAGTTTTGCGCGTTGATGTTTTTGATTCCTGCTCTAGGATCCGCACATTCACTTCAAAATCATCGCCGTTGTGCTTTTGTGCCCTATGCGTACCTAGAGGGGTGTTTAAACGGATTTTAGCTTTCCCGTCTAGATGTTCTTTTATGCGGACACAAAGTGGTCTATCCGTTTCCCCGATATATTCCTCGCCTCATGCATTACATGAGATCAAGTATATTATACCTAAACTCATGCAATAAACTCATAAAACTTTTTAAACTTTTTCTATAGTACTTTGGACAGGATATAGAATCGCAAGCTCCCTATGTAATAAAAGTCGCGAAATGAGAAACAATTTATTCGCAAACCTACACGAGTTAACTCCGAAGCTCTCACATCTTTAATTTATTAAAGAAAAAGACAGGTGATAGCTGATAGCCTATAAGACAATAACACGGTTGAGAGACAGGCGAAACGAAAGACTCGCGTGGTGTAGTGGTGAACGCGTTAGCCACCGGAAAGGGTATTAATGCGTTTGGTCACTACCAGAGGCACCAGCGGTTCGGAGTTTTGCAAATATCTCAGCAACATTATGGTTATATCACATAGTACGCTGAAGTAAACGTAGCTATAAAACGATGCTTTAGAAGGGCAGGTTCGCAACCGCCTGTATGACCGTCTGTGTGAAACAACAAATTGCGTAATTTGCCCTTACGGCAGGGACGGTGATTGCATGAGTTCAGGTACGATATACCTGATCTCTTGTAATAATTGCGGACATGAATGTCTTGGCGAAACGGGCAGACCTTTGTGTATCCGTATAAAAGAACACCCAGATGGCAAACGAAAACTAAGACGAAGCACCCCACTAGGCACGCATAGGATACAAAAGCATAGCGGAGACGATTTTGAAGTAAAAGTCAATATCCTTGCACAGGAGTCCAAAACACCAGCGCGAAAACTTCTTGAGGCATTTGGATAAATGCCATAAACCCCACAATGAATAGCAGGGGTGCCCGGAGGTCATACGCGACCTGACCCCGTATGTTCGCATCGATTTCTGATATGGGATGGTGCGGTCACCAACCATATGCGACTATAATCAGCTGTTCTAATCTTCCTCATTGGAAGTCACGAAAAAGCGGTGGGTTTTTTTTGGAGAAGCTGTTGATCATGTGATTACCATAGAGCTTTTCGTCTTTCTGGAAGTGTTATTGGAGGATTTGGCCTAGTAGATTGTATATCAGCATACCCTTCCAGACTCTGAAGAAGGCGATACTGCCGAAACGTCAGCTAGCGTTGTATTGTATTGTGTTTTTCTATGGAAGTAAATGTATGCCGTTTAAAAACCTCGCGATTGCTGAACAGGAAAACGACGCATTCATATTCCAATGCCGAGGTTAAGAGAAAATCGATCCTGGGAATTATTACAAGCGTGAGAGATATTAGAAAAAAATTTTAGCTTTCTTTTTTAAAAAGTTTTAGCTGTTTTCAATTCAATCATGTCCAAATGATGCGTAATGAAGCCGAATGCTTGATGTATCCCTCAACGATTGATCAACCCCGAAAGCTTCAAAAAGCTCCGAAAGCTTTTAAAAAGCTTTTTTGAAAATCCAGGAAAAATTACACACAAATAGTATTCCAGTTGGGGGTAGATGGATCCTCAAGGTACAGCAGAAGCCACGTGAAGTTCTTTTGGTCTAACCAGGTGGAAATATGGAAGGACCGCGGTTGATATGAAGTTATTTGAGCATTGTCGTATGAAACACGAGGCCTATGTGGTCAAAAATTTCATAACTGACTCTTACATATTTTTCCTACTGTGTCTCGCCCAGAACTTGGAATCGCCAGCCTATCTATCTAACGGAAGAATTTCGAAACGAAAAAAATTTATTCACAACTAGGACGGGTCGACTCCGAAGCTTTCGCACGGGAGTCCACTTGATACCAGCAAAGCCTTCTTATTCACAAAAGAAAAGAATTCCAAAGCCAATAATACCGAAGAGGTTTCTCAACTTAGTGTCGTCATCTTATCGTGACGTCTTATCGGAATCCTATAAAAGGTCTATTGTCAAGTGATTAGCGCACACACACTGCTTCTTTCACCGATGGTAGGTCTCAACACTTTCTACGAATTTCGACACTTTCGCATAAATAAACTTTTTTAAACTGGTTCACCTCAAAGAGAGACGAGCTTTCAGAAAGCCGCTATACTCGCTATCGTGCTGGTGACCGCTGTCTCGGCAGCATTTCTGCAAAATACAAGTGAGCTCTTTTGATGTTAACAGAATTGTTCATTGAAACATGAGCAATTATGTGCCAGTCCGTATCTAACAATGATGTCTGAGCAATAGAGGCCGAATGCAGGTTTTGTGAGCAAAAGTTTTTTTTCAGAGAAAAATCTTCTAAAAGCCGAGCATCTCACAGGGAGTGAATTGGTTGACTATATCAACAAGGCCCAGAAATTATTTACAGTATGAATTTCCTCACTTAATAGCACAAAAACCGAATTATAATGGAAATGATAGTATTTGGAAGAACACCTTATAAGCTATTCCCTTTAGGCTAAGCTCTCGCCTCGCTTCGCGAACTTCCCAGATGAAATCAAGCGCCGCCTCATGGGTTCGAAGTATGTCTCCTTACCAGCAAAGTATCGAGTGAGTACCCAGAGTCCTACTTTGTTTTCGTGCGAATAGCTGAGACGAAATTCTTTGAGACTATTCAAGGTGAACGAAAAGACGCACAGCGACATAGACGATTCCACTATCCCAAAATCGTTCGATTCTAGAACAAACTGGCCGGAATGCTCGTCGCTTTACTCTATTCGTGACCAGTCTTCCTGTGGTAAATACAACAAATATTTCTCGCTTTGACCACTCATCGAGAGGGCCAGCGACTTCTCATGCAAAATAAAGTCTCTTTACTTCACATCCGTTGCTTCCTAGTCACGCATATCTTACCCAGGTTTTTTTATTTGCATTCTAGCTACAAAATTAGTCCAATCCTTGAGAATAAGTGGCAGAAGAATGCAATGAACGTATTTCGTTATATTAATGGTAATTGGAAACATTATTTGATATTCACTTTGCTAGTCCATGTTTTACCATCAACTCGGAGTGCAGGGAGATTCCAGGCTCCTGTTGGGCGGTCGCAGCGGCTGAAGCAATGACTGATCGTATTTGCATAGCCTCAAAGGGGAATCTGACGGTCACTATCTCAGCTGACGATCTTCTCTCTTGCTGTGACGAATGTGGCTACGGGTATGCTATTTACTGGTAGCTACGTTTTCCTCATACTTTGCATGTAAATGCCAGTTTTCAGGTGCGATGGAGGCGACCCATATGAAGCTTGGAGTTATTGGGTATCCAGTGGAATTGTTACTGGAAGCAACTATACTTCTAAGGTATTTTATTCAAAAGGATGGAAACCTGAGTTTTGAGTTTGCAAATTTAGCTCATCCACAATTTCACCAAATGTTATTCTTCCCGCACCTTCAGTTAGCAAATTTTCTTTTACAGAGCGGCTGTAAACCCTACCCATACCCTCCTTGTGAGCACCATATCCCTGCAGGTCGCTATAAGGTAGGTGGAAATAGAAAACAGGAAAGTGTCCTTTGATGTTCTGTTGATTAGAAACATTATTTATTCGTGATTCAATATTACTTCATAATGTAAAATGTTCAAAAAAGCGACAATTTTCAGAAGTGCCCAAAGGACATCTACCCAACAAACACCTGCGAATATAAGTGTCAAGATGATTACTCGGTCTCTTACAACAATGATAAACACTACGGTATGTAGCATCATGTGCGACAGATTCCAATTGAATAGTATTATTTTGCTCACAACAAAAAGTGTGAAGAATTTCGTGCTATTTTTTCCGTGACAAGGCAATTTAAGGAATATTTTTAAACGTGAACGATTACGTTTCTGTACTGCTTCTCTAGTTGTATAATTGAAAGGTGTTGTTCAGGAGCGTCTGTCTACGCGGTTGCTCAGGATGTTGCCAGTATCCAAAAAGAAATCATGATCAACGGTCCGGTCGAAGTCGCTTTTGACGTATATGAGGACTTCGAGCACTACTCCAGTGGAATCTACAAGGTGAGTTGCGGTAATCACTGAAACGGAATCACTAATGAGTGACAATAGCCGCGCCTTTATATAACTGATATTATATAAATAACGAACAAAAAGATAAACGACTAATGGGCCGTAATTGGTGCGATAAATAAACGGATAAGCGAGGCGACCTTTCGATGCTGGTGAGTCCTCAAGGGAGATTTACCAATCATTCGACTCCACAAAACCTTGCAAAGGTGATTGCATTGCATTTCTGGGCCAAGCGAGGCCAACGGACATATCACGTCAGCATTTAAACCCTCCAAACAAGTCTGGCACCAATTTTTTGAAAATGGAGAGTGGAGTCAGTAGGCTCGGTTTGATTAACTCGGAATGCCATATCGAACTATGGGCAACGCATCTCATAGTACGTTTAACCTGTTCGCGCCAAAATGAGCCCTATGCGCTTCATTTTTAATGGGACACTGTGGCCAATATGTGCCCTGGAGAGGTTGTTTTGTATCTGATGGTTCATTTTGATACGAGGGACATTATAGCTGCATTTGCTGTAAACATCGACTTATCCAACTCAGATCTTGTGGTGAAAGTCGTCGTTACGAAAAGTGCAGATATAGGCCGAACATGAGCTAGAAAATCTTGCAAATACTGACATTAATGGACGCGTGTTGACTCGACTCATTGGACAACAGTAACATACACTGAACAGTAGCATCCATGGTATTCATACCTGTAAAGCGATGGAGAAAATTCTCTACAATCCTGTTTTGTTGACAATTTGCCGAGTGCTCTAGCCATCGAAACACTGTTGTTTAATCCACTCACGAGATTATTATTTATTTATGCCGAAGTTAAGTAAAAATCGGTTTTGGAGATTTATTTTTAACTGCTAAAATAAAGAACAAGAAGACCAAGCCGGAACAGAAGAGCAGACGTCGTACAATGGGTCGACTACGAGAAATTGGCGTCGTCGCGAATCTATTTAGCACCGCACTCCAAACCAACTTTCTAACATTAAGGAATAAACTGGAACCCTAAACGCAAAATTGTTAATCTCTGGCCTATTCTCTTTACTCTATACCAGTGAGTGCTAAATTAAAATGAATATGGAGAAGCACTGTTCATGGCGTGAAAGTCGGTCTCGTATAGTAATGAAGTAAAAAATTTGAACCAAAGTGATAGGTGCGGCTTTTCGAATTTTTGCAAAACTGTTTTCTAGCACACAACCGGTGATTATCTCGGTGGACACGCAGTGAAGATGCTCGGATGGGGAACGGAGAACGGCACAGACTATTGGATCTGCGCCAATTCATGGAATTCCGATTGGGGAGAGAACGGTACGTCTCGTTATTCCAGTGAATGCGTTCTTGACACGGTTTCAGTTATAGACATTTTTAAAGTGCAGCCATTTTTGTGGAATTCGGAAGTTCACATCATACGGACCATTTGAATTGGTCGGATACACATGAGTTGAAAAGTCTGATTTAAGGTTTCTTCCGAATTCTCCGTGGTGTCGACGAGTGCGAAATTGAATCGGGCGTCGTCGCCGGAGAACCGCAATAATGAGCCATTACTTTCATGTTTATTGGGAAGATTTAAATGAAGAAATTGGAAAGCGACACTAAGATTAACATTACAGAGAGCATTCAAGCAAATAGAAGTGGAAAGCAACAGAGCTGTTGAAAAGTTGGCTACCAAGAAACTTGTGTTTATTATTCATATAGGTATTGATTAAGATCAAAATTAAACAACTTTCTCATCTGAAATTTTCAGAAACAGTTCGCAACATAAAAAAAGCTTAATTCAACAATAATGCATAAAATATGGGTGACTAAAGTGGATCCCAAGGAAGAATCGTAGGAATACAGTGCAAACACGAAGTTAGCGAGAAGTGCTTGTAGCGAAACTGAGTCATGCTCAAACAGCTCATTCCTGCGATCTTGTCTTTATTTTTGAATTCATCGAATGAAATAAGAATAATGGCGCGTGTGGCGCAGTGGTCGGAGGCGAGGCGTGGAATCTGTCTCCGCGCCCACAGCCCACCAAGCCTTCCATCCTTCCGGGGTCGGCAAATTGGTGCCAGACTTGTCTGGGAGGATAGCAGAACTGGCTCGGTACATCAGTAGGCCACCGCGACCCATTGCAAAGGCCAAATATGCATCAAATCGATTCCAAACGATGCTCAGTGAAATCTAATTCATGGCGCTTCCCTCAGGAATTGAACAATACCGAAAGCTTTATCCTTTTTATGGAAACCTCTCACCGGGTAGATTAGAGTCAACTTGACTTCCCAGGCTCTAAAGAAGGCGAAATCCGCCGAAATGCAAAATTTTTGGGTGAATCAAGAGTACCATAATAATTGGAAGTCACGAAAAAGCGGCTCTGAAGAAGGCGATACTGTCGAAACGTTAGCTAGTGTTGTATTGTATTGTGTTTTTCTATGAAAGTAAATGTATGCTATTTAAAAACCTCGCGATTGCTGAACAAGAAAACGACGCTACCATAATAATTTTCATATAACCGTAGTCAACTCTCTCTAGTTGGCGTCAATATTCTGCTGAAAAGAATAAGCTACGCCGCTCAAGCGTCAGGAGGATAGCCTTATCTTTTGTAGATAACAATTTTATAGAATGGAATGCCAGAGTCGATAACATACCAATGGGTGCATGTAAGACATATGACTCGTACCGACTACGTAAGGAAGAGTACCCGTTTTGTGTCATAATGAAATGCTACGATTTTCTTTTTTTTAAACAGTAATTTGCCCTCATAGTAGAGACGACGATTGCATGGAGTTCGGATGCGACGTACCTTTATAGCCTTGTTAAACCAGATATTGTTTTTCCCACAATTAAACTCTTCAGTCCAAGCGTCGTTCTGTCTAGAATATGTCGCAATAGCTTTTCCTTTTTAATACTGTAATTAATCTAACATTAACGTTGCCCTCTTAAGTTGCTCTTTTAAAGGAGATTTTGAACTAGGGCAACTAGGCTGCTTATGGGACATCGTCTCTTCGTGGTTAAGGACTGCCCATCTCAAACCAGAACTGAAATTACAACAACTATTTGTTTTTCAGTAATTAGAATTGTTAATAAAGTAGGAGGGTAGACTACAAAAAAATACACGACTATGAGATATATTATTTTGGATACTTGGGCGGTCCATTTTCACTGGTTGTACATGCCCCAGCATATTCTTCGTTTTCGGAGTTTTACTGGTTTAGTCATTGTGCTTCCTCGGATTGCCGTGGTCAGCTTGGCAAAGTCTGCCTCGGGTCGTCACCACCACAGTTCGCAGTCACCTTTGTAGATCAGAGCGAGATTTACTACCATGGGATTAGCTTGATACCAGGACAGTGGATCAGTGGATCAGTGGATGGATCGTGGTATTGGCTCACGCTCATCTGAGGGTAAATCTCCTCGCTGTACATCCCAACACGACACCAAGGAACATCCCCCAGCCACGATGGGCAAAAAGATTTTTTTATTCCCTTCAAAACTTCTGTGAGGAAAGCATAGATGGAATAGATTAAAATCATACCTCGAAGAAATGAAGTTCAACTCAATGTGGAAATAATCAGTGAAGACTTCCTTTCCTCTGTCACTGGCAACCGTTACATCGATGTGGGCAATGTCGGAAACCAATACTAAGGTTGCCTGTCTCCTCCACTGAAGAAATTTGTGAGCAAATACTTTCGAAAATTACTAAATGTGTTTTGAAAGCAGCTTTTCTTAACTTCATTAAATTAAACACCGAAATCGTCTTTGATTGAGCCACTACTTGTTTGGCAGAAAATGCCATATTTCCCAAGACCAAATCAGTTAACTTCAGTATTGGTAACTATTTTTACGTTTTCCTCTTCCGCAGAAATGTGGTTAAAAATTCAGATCAGATTTATTCTGTCCGGACCTGGTGCTGCTCGATTTTTTACCAACGAAATGGCATGTCGGTTTTCGGAACGCAGAACCGGTGGCACAACATTTCCATCCTCCTTTATTTCATATGACAAAAGGTGGACGTGGCTATCGAAGAGATCTGAGTAGTATTCGTGAATTATTTTCTCCATTGCCTTTCTGGACGCTGTAACTGCTCCGTCTGGCCATCGGAGTGTAATCATCTTGTTCCTGTAATTTGCGAAGCTTCGGTGGGCTTTGCCAATGCTTTTCCCATCCTCTGCAGCTTCGACCATTACTGCTGTTCTTCTCTCTCTAAGATCATCTTGTATCGCCTCTCTGTATTCTTTTGCAAGTTCGGGCGTTAGTTCGCGGTTGCCTGCAGCTCATGTGATTCCACGGTGGCGCATTAGCTCGAGTGTTTGTGGAGACAAACTTCTCTTGGTGGCTTTCGAACTCTCAGCTTTCAAAGCGCTAACGTGAAGATGTTGAGTGAGCCGACCTTCGTCGATGTTATCAACAACGGTTTTTTCCCAACTGCCAACAAAGGAATTGAACAAATCTCAATTTACAGTGGTTTTAGCACTTCGTTTTTTTTGAATTGGACGGTGTTTCCTACTTTCCACGAGAAATGGAAATCTTGCATTAAGTAGGCGATGATTCTATTCTGTGTAGAATCTTGGGGCAGTAGCGACGTTGATTAGCCAATGATTTCGATTCACTATGATGTGGGCTATTTCGTTATTGTTGTGTTTATTAAGAGATTCCCTTGTCCAGCGCTAATAGGAGCTCTCCTGGAATTGCGGGTTACCGTGAATGATCTTGGTCGTCATGACAAATTCAGACGGCCGCTCACCCTGCTCGTTCCGTTACAATCCGTGGTTTCCAATGTTACGTTCTTAAGGCGTACTTCTGAGCATAATTTTAGCACTGAAATTTCTATTGATGACCTTAGCAGTTGGTGCGTAGACAACAAAGACTATAAAAGCTTGTAAACAAAGACAAAAAATGGCTTCCATTTTTGAACGCACAAATTTACCTATCAGAAAATAGCTGCATTACAAAGTGGTACCGAAAGCCAAGTAGTAAAAACATCTTGGTTCATTACCTCTCCTCTCACCCCTCTCACACG